AATGATCGAACTTGACATGGTTCTGACGGTCACCTCAGGATGATCGAAATAGATTTCAATCGCCTGCGGAGCTCATGTTTCATTGCAGGGAGACAGCTTGCCACACGCTGCAGTTTCTTATGCCCTCAGTTCCGAACCATCTGACTCTTGGTTTGCATTGGCTTCTGTCACAATTCAATGTCATCCAGTGTCAAATGTCAGATGATCCAATGATTCAATTTTGACAAAAATAAGTAAAAGGAGAACAAATTCTGATGACTTTGCTGGTGGCCGCTTTAGTGGCCTTCATCCACGGACAATGCGATCCGTGGCTTGAACGGAACTTGAACACATGCATGCCGTGTGAATTGAATGGCTAGTAGACCGTTAGATACTCAGGTATACCGACACCCTCGAGCATACAAGACGCTGCGATTGATGTTGGAATCACCAGCAGCGATGGTGCTCATAAGCTGCGCACAGGGCTTCCATAGGACCATGTATCAGTGTCAGCATCATTGATTCAATGGTGTCAGCGTCAGCGGGCCTTCTTATTGGTGCCATCCTGGAGGACGCCTGCGATGACGGCGCTGCTCTGGATTTTCTTGTTCGCACCATGGCATTCATCAGTGACATTCAGATTCAGATTGTTCAAGTCTGATGGTTTTCCTTCTGGTGGCAAGTGTGCTGCCTGTTCAGTCAACTTAGGCGATGGGGGCACATCCAATCATGTTCCTTCCAAGCCTCAGTCGGCGTTCATGGGAGACGGACTGCAGCTTTGCCTACGACTGCTGGCAGGTGAGTGACCCCCCAGAGCACCTTGGGCGCAAGGATGTCACTGTCAATGGCAATGGACAACTCTGACAGCTTTCCCTTTGTTGATTCAACAATGACTCAGGCGCTACACCTTCCAGCTGAAGCTGGCGGAAGATTGGGGGCGGCATTGCCCTGAGGACTTCTTCGATGTCATGGTCCAAGCATGGGACATTTGGACCGAGCTCCATGGTGATCGATTGCCTTTTGCCTGCTTTAACTTTTGCCAATGTCATTGCATTGCCTTTGATTCAACGTCATTGCATGTCATTGCCATTGTGCTGCGTTGCCATTGCAGTCATTGTCATTTGATATGGTTGTTTGAATCATACGTGCAAGGTACTATGACTTTGCGCCCCGTACCCCCATCGTCAGAATTGATGGCGGCACTATTTCGGATGATGGCCCAGGCCCAGATGGCGACCAAGAACCTCAGCCCATTGAGGTTGAGGAGCCAGAGTTGGACGAGGAGCCGGGCCAGCTTGTCCATTGGGTCGACGACGAGAGCATCCTTGAGGACGCGGATCCTGTTTTGAGCCTTGGTTGATTCTGAATCGTTTCTTGATTCCGGTTAATGCGGGTTAATGGCAAGTTCATGCAAGATCAAATGATTTGAAGCGAAAGTCGAGCTGACTCAGGGCAGAGATCCTCACCGATGCTGGCATCATCGAGCGGGTGCAGGTGTACTTCTTCAGAATGCACCTCAGAGTTCCGTACAGGGGCTTGAGGATGCTGCCACTTGGACTTGCAAGTGTGTGGAATTTTGATTCATTGTCAAGTAATTGACTGAATGTTTTAAATGCTTCATTCATTCCGACTTAGAGTCATGACAAATGACTGAGGTACAAGGTGGTGCACAACACGATGCTTGGTGGGACGCAGCGCTTCCGGAACCCCAATGCTTGGATGGTGGTTGGCATTGGATCCTTGCCACCATTACTACTTTCTTTGTCAGTCTTTTTGTTCACGACTTTGTCATTGTCATTGTCATATTGTTTCATTCAATGCTAACTCAGGACACGAGCTTTCGCAGCTGCCAGATGAGTGATAGTGATGGTGATGAGTATAAAATATGTGCGTCCGTGTGTTTGCGCAGTCACTGTCACTGTTCTCGTTCACTGTTTGCTTTGGTTGTTTGTCAATGTCCATTGTTCATTGGTCATGTCATTGATATTCATTGACTTGATTCAATTGATCTCCAGGACTTGGATGATTTTTCTGCCTTTGTTGACTCCTCAGTGTCAGAGCTTTTTTCTGCAGTGTTTTCTTGTTTGATGCTCAACTCCCAGGTCTGGGTCACTTTGTGAGCCTGCCCGCATTTAGCCCCGTAGCCATTTGTCATTGTCCTTGTTGATTGTCATTGTCCTGTCATTGTCACAGAAATTCTTATATATATATAATAAATATATTTACCTATTTTACCTACCATACTGGCTCAAAGTAAAAAAAGATATCACTTTTTTTCAGGTTCAACTAAACAGCTAGGTCACTATTCCATACACGTAACTACTTCATACATGCAACTATTCCATACATGTATGGTCTAGGTTTTGACATCAAAGTTTGAGCCTATACTATGCGTGGTTGCTACCTCAATATCCTCCAGGTTCGAGGTCGACCGGGCTCGCAAGAGGTGCGTTGGAAGAACACATGGTCGGCGTGGTTTCTCGCAGAGGTCGGCGTGGTTTCTTCTTGCAGACATAGCTTTTGATTCTGAACTTCAGAATAGCAAAGAAGTTCAGACGGGTCAGACTACGAAGATTCCTACAGACTTCAGAAGCTCACTGCCATTACTGGCATTTCACACTTCATTACGCCAGGATGCTTGCCCTACATGGCTGTGGGTCGCGTAGCGCGAAGCTGTGGGTAGGTGAAGCGGTTGGTATCCGAGTGCCATGATCCCACAGTCATATATACCATTTGTCGCTAAGAAGGGGTCTTTCTGGTGTGGCATATGTCCCATGGAATGCGTGGCTCAGTGAGTGTGTGAGGCAAAGAAGTCAGAGTCCTTACCCTCCTTACCCCAGTAGAGTGATGTTCTCGTCCTTTAGGTCCCTTCGGCCCCTGCGGTCTTGCGTGGCACGGCCATTAGAGCACCGTCACCCACGTCCGCCCACGTCCGGCCCAAGTGAAACACTGAGGGCGGTACGTGAGAAGCCAACGTATTTGGTGTCCAAAAACGTCAGGGGTAGAAATGCCACAGGCAATGCTGATTTCAGTGACTGTGAAACTGGTCCCTGATCTGGTGACTCCCCTTCTATAATTAAGGAATAATATATAGGGGACTTTGTTCTGAGGTCTGAGGTCTGGTCCTTTATGTAAATCCAAGTAGACATGGAGTTGATCGCATAGTCCGTGGAATGATTGTATTCAATTCTTTGGGTGTACTCAGTCCACTGACTTGCACATAGGATCTCAGTCATGGTGGTGAAATCTGTGGAACCAACTGGTGATCCTGAAAGACACATTTAGCATTATAAAAAACGTTCATTGGAAAGAGCCTGTTTTCTAAATTTAAAAAACAGTCAAAAAAAGTCGATCCCAAAAGTCAAAGTCAAAAAACAATCAAATCAGAAAATTTCAGAAAGTTAAAAAATACAGACAATTTGCCCAGATCCGACCTTTTTTTCGACTTTTTTTTGACTTTTTTCGACTTTTGTTTGACATGTTTTTGAGCTGTGGTCTATGGTTGCCTTTTTATGCCTTTTTTGTTGTTTTTTTTGGCATTTTTTGTTTTTTTTACTTTTCTTGACTCTAGTAATCCGCCAAGGCAAGCAGCCACAGTTTTGACTTGTTTTGACTTCTTTTTTTTACTGTTTTTTTTTGACTTTTTCCCGTCTTTGTTATTTATGTTTTACTTTTTCGAGCTGTGGTCTATGGTTGACCTGTGGTCTATGGTTGACTTTTTTGATGTTTTTTTTCGTTGTTTTTTTAAATGTTTTTTTTTGACTTTTCAATTTGATTTTTTGCCTTTGGCTTTTCCAGTTGACTTTGTTTTTACTATTTTTTGGTTTTGTGTTTAAATCACGGATTCTGGCCTTACCATATGAAAGTTTTTAAAATAAATTTAGCATATATATATATATAGTTATGCTAGACTTCCAAGACCATGAAAAACATGGTTGACCTGGTGTTTGTAGTGTAAAATCTTAGTTGATTCGCTAACGACTATTAAATTAATGGTGGTTGGAAGCCTAGGGATTAGATAGTTTAAGGCATTGAGTCATGTGGATCCATTAGTCACTTCTTCTGTCAGACAGCCCCGGTTTATGAGGATTGAATGACTCAACTGCTGGAGGTATAGACTGGAACCGCAGGGGATTGAGCAGACAGGCAAGTCATGTTTGTTCTGATTTGGACCAGACCATTGGTCCTCTCCTCTCATGCTCCAGTCGGAACTGGAGTAGAGAAGACCTTAGGGTGACTCATGGGTTGCAGAACTTCAGGCATGACAGTTCTTTTCTGATTAGGGTATATTAGGGTGACCCTCCAGTTACAGCACCCATGTCACAGACGGTGGCACTCCATACCCAGACACTCCTTAGGGCTGAAAAGACGTATCATACATGTTCATCCATCGTCATCCATGCACCCTGGCGCCCGTCCCGCTCCCGCTCCCCGAAGACGGCGCACCGAGGTCCACACGTTGGCGCCGGTCGGCTTCCGGTGGTGGAAGGGGACGGCATGGGACGGATGGGACGACGGCACCGATGAGTTGCCGCGATGGTCCGAGGGTCTCAGGGGTCATACTGTAAGGATCATACTGAAGAAGCCTATCCAGGTCGTTCGCACGAGCGCCGCAAAGCGGCACCGTGTGTGTGTGTCAACCCCTGTACCTAAGGGTTCCGCTGTTTCCAAGCCTGTCGCCAACGAAGCTCCATGCAGTTGACTAGGATATCACAGCTGATCACCGTGACGTACCTGCCGAACTTTTGACCACGCTGTCTAATTTGCTTTGTTTGATTCCATGGTTCTTCATGTTACCACTCCTAAACAGGTTTCCCACCGCATTGCAACTGCTGCACGCCGCTTTCACTTGCGCTCGTTGTGAAACCTTGTTAAACAATACTTTTCTGCGGACTCATGCACCTTTCCGTTCCCTCACTTTCGTTCTCAACGTGGGAATTGAGTTAACAGCAAACCAATGTCAGAGTGTGGGTTACGTCCCCTTTCCGCTCTTGACTCTGGGGCCAGGGGCGTGGTCAACCATGTGGCGCTTCTTGGAACAGGACGACCAGAACAAGGAACCGCCACTGGACCTTGTGCCCCGCAATCCATTCGATTGGGCGGTTCGTGAGTTTCAGTCAAAGACTTTGAGATTCCCCTCGCATAGAGCATTCAGCCAAAGGCAAGGTGTCAGCCAAGGTCTTGCCGCATATGATGCGACTGCTCGATGCCTTCAGGTCCCTCGCTGCGCGGCATCTTTCCTGTGACTGGCTCTTCCTGATCGGATATCAAACTATCGAGCATATCTTGTGCGAGTTCAGGAAGTACAGCGATGCGCGCGGTCAGCTGCGCCTGAAACAAGGAGATGCGACTTATCGCTTGCTCGTGGAGAACTTTGCCACGCGCCACAAATTGCCCTTGCCTGACACCCCCGTACAGCGACCGAAAAGACCTATAGACGCAGACGCTGCAGACCTTGGTCTCTATGCAGATGCTCCGTGGTGGCTACCAGAAACCTGAACTCGCTCACGTTTACCGGACATGTTGAAACCCTGTTCCACACCCACACCCCTTCCCCAGGTTCTCCACTTCGCGGAAGCGCTCGTGGTCCGCTTTCGGCGGCTGTGGGACCGCGCCGCACAGCCCTCCAGAAAGGGTGCCAAAAAGGTCCTGGCAGATCCCAAGTTCTCCAAGCTGAAGCTTGGGCAGTTTACCTGGCAGCTAGACAGAAGCAGCCTGATGCTTCAGGAGGCCCGTATTGAAGTTGAATGTCGACGCAAAGTTGAAAAAACAGCTTGCGATACATTGCTTCGCCCCACAGGTTCTCTCCACGAAAGCAAATCTGACAAGCCCATACAATTGGCCCACCAGCCTCGCTCGTGGTAACTGCTCGTCGTTGCTGCTCGACTGCATGTTGACAGTATAGTATAAGAGTCTTGCAGCGTTTTCTCGTCCTTGCTTTCATTCACTGTGCTGTGCGCGGCATCAATGACAGGACGGTAGAGACAATTGACATCGTCTACAATTGCTGCGTGGCAGTCATGTTAGCGTCCCCGAGCTGCGGCGGTCTATGGTCACCGAACGGCGTAAAAGCGTCACGGCGTAATCGCGCCACCAAACAGCGTAAAAGCGTAACGACGTAACGACGTAGAGGTTGACTGCCCCAGATCCCCAAACGTCGCAAAAGCGTAAAAGCGTCACGGCGTGAGACCGCACCGGATCCCCAAACGTCGTAAAAGCGTAATGGCGTAATCACATTTATGGCACCAAATGCTTGCCCTCTGTTTATTCAGGATAACATACAATCGTCAGCAACCAATCTATGACACGTTTTCGTGCTCTTCCCGAAAGGGCATGTCCGAGAGAGTGGTGTCCAGGTACCCGTTTCGCTACTCGAACCAGGTAGGGTATACGCTGTAGGCTTTCACACCATCCAGTGGATTCCCATTCCAACTGTACCCCCAGACACAACCTTCTGGGGACCGGACTGGAATATATTTTATATAATAATTAATAATATATATATATATGTATATATACAGTAGACTTATCATTGTCACTGGGTCAACCGCCAGTCGCGGTGTGGGACCGGAGGCTGAGCGACCGCATCGCGGGCTGCTTTGGCGGCTTGTGCCCTTGCCTGCGCGATGCCTACTCGCCGTGTCTGGGAAGCATCGAACACACCGGATGGGTTCCGCATCGAAGCCCAGGGCTCAGAGGATCGGATTCACCCCTCCAAAAGTGCAAGTTATGTTTATTGTATGTTATAGTTATATATATATATATATCATAAATAGTTCTGTTTTGTTATATATAGTTATGTTATGTTTGTTATTGTGTAGTTTTCTATCGTAAATATACACTGACACTGGGGAACTGGTGCATTTGGCTACGACTATGACATTGAAAATCATTGACACCTTTTCAGCCACCCAAAGAATAGTGCAAATAAGTTCCACCAGTTCATCCATCCGTTTTAGGGTGGTAACTCCTATTTTTTCATGGAGTGGTGAATCCCCTTGAATGTGTGGAATATGTGTTCGAAGTTCCGAAACATCAACATCCAAGTGTGTGGGAAGGTACATGTTGGGCACCATGGAACACATGGAGCGAATGCCACCCATGTCCGGACTGTTCTGCTGCGTTCCATGCAGAAAAAACCGTTCCATGCGCCGGCTTCAGGGCCTTTGACAAGCCTCAACAACTGGAGGATGTCATGACTTGGCGTAAAGAGTTGATTCGCGCTGATGCCGTGGCAGAAGTGTTCCGAACCCTAATTGTGTCCCAAAAGAACCCAGACACTTCATGGGACTGGGCATATTTAGTGTAACAATGTATGTAATTGTTACATACATGAAGTGTTTAAGTTTAAGCTAGAGACTCTTGATGATATTTCATATACTAAGAGCTTTGTTCAATCCATGTGGGGGAGGGTTCATCCTTGGAAAACCATACATGGGTGAGGTCCTTAATCCTGGCACCGGGCAGCGCTGAGGCCTCCTTTGCATGTGAGTCCTGCGCCGGGCAGCTGAGATCATTTGACCGTTGGATCTGGATGGGATCGGCCAGTGGGTTTGGAGGTTCCAGCTCAGCAACAGGGGCTTTGGGGATCGGATGACTTGGTTGTTTTCACGAATCCCCTGGCGCGGCATGGGATACGTGTTGAAATTGAATGCGGATAGCAGATAGCAAATCCAAGAAACAGGTTGTTGTATAGTCCCAGTCCCAGACGAAAGGAACACAGCATATGTTCCAAGCCAGCATATATGTTTGTTAGTATGTTTGTTCCAACCCAGCAGTGGGGTTTGGTGTTGGGCTCCAGAAGAGCCCAATCAAAGCCAGCAAAGCCTGATTCGACCGGATGTCAATTGAATCTCTCATTGAGTAAGATTTGTTTCTGACCGAATCCAGGATTCAGGTCTCACAAGATCTCAGAGGACGTGTAAAAGGTGTTTTCTCCGGCAAAAACGACCAGCCTTTTGAAAGGCCATGCGAGCTTCACACAACAATAAATTTCGACATTTTCCTGGGGTTATGCTACAGAAACTGAGCGGAACATGTTTGTTTTCACACCCCAGGAAGCGAAACTCCAGTTCTTTTGATGTGGCTAGTGTGCATTGAAATAGGGTCACAGGCTAGGGAGATCAATCCGGAGGAGCAGTAAGCTTCACTGATTGGAGGGTCCCTATTTCAATGCACATCAAACTCATAGGGATGGACATATGAGGATCGATACGATCACCTTGCTGCTGGCGGGCGAGCACAGCTCCGAACTTTTGGTTCCAAAATCAAGCCCCGAAACGTCCGTGTCGATGTGCGACAGCTTAAGGTTTTCGCCCAAAACCAGACGAATGGGACTGGAATAGCTTCTCTATGTTCCCAGACCAATGGACGAATGGGACGACTGTCGACCGTTCGTTACGCTTCGTTCGGACGGTTCGTAGAGTCGCTCGCAAGCCCGGACGAACCGGGTACAAGCGGGGTCAACTAGGGTTTTTCATTGTAATAGTATGGTGCCTATATTCACCTGGTTTTCATGTATGGAGTATGGTGCAACCAGTCTCATTCACCTGGTTTGGTCACACCATGCAGCTGGGTTTGGTCATTCGGTGTGAACCTGAGCTCACTTCACCGGGTGCTGAGGAGTAAGGCGCAAGAGACCATCGAGGAGAGAGATCAAACGCAGTGAAGGTGTGCAGATCCTCTGTAGTTTAGAAGCTGAAACTGTCAAAGCCAGATCCAGGGTCGCCCTCTCTTTTCTCAGCCAGATCCGGCCTAGGGCCTGAGTGCACATGTGGCCTTTAGAAGCTACAAAATACAGAAGCCACCGCTCCAACCCAGAGCACTTCGGCGTCTCATATAGAGTTTTACTGCGCGGTGCGACCTCCACTAAGAAACCTGTGGACCTCCACAGCTTCCTGAATCGGTGTGACCTTTCCGAGATTTGGAGAATCATTGTTCAAACAATATCCAGACGCTCCATGTATGCCACATATGCCTACATTATCCTACATTGGGGTTGTTTGGGGGGGTCAATGTAGGCATTATATTCCATACATGGAGTGTATGGGATAAAACAAACTGAAGAGTTGGTTGGGGCTAAGAAGCGTTAAACCAGCGGACGAGGTTGCAGGTTTCTTTCACCAGGCGACATGCCAATTTATGTGAGCAGGTATTCCTGGTCTTTAGCTTCACTGGTTCATTTGGTTTGTCCAAAGCTTGCAGCCTGTTGCTGAAGGCCGTCAGCCCAATATAGAGGACATAGAACTATGTCGTTTGGGATCAACGTGGATCAGCAGATGTTTTCGCTATGTTGGAGAAATCTGGAGTCTACGATTGTCATGCGGTACTGGCGTACTGTCATGCGGTACTGTCATGAGGTCCTTAGGTTTTGATGCCTCAAATACACCACTTCACACGTACCCCAGCAGACGGACCGCATGGAGCCTGAGAAGAAGAACCCGTGGTTTCGATCATGTTCCGCAAAGAAAAACCCAGTGGTTTTGAGGGTCCATGCGGTCCGAGTTGCAGGAGGGTATTTTGCAAGACACGTGGAAGAATAGCTGCCCAAGCTCAGAGTGTTGATTCCTTATGCCGAAAACTGCAGGCACGCTTGCGTTTGAGTGGGTTACTCGTAAGCCAAAGACGTCGGACCAAGAGAGTCGTAGTGACCCGGTTACTCAAGCCTATCGGCTCAGAGGCTCAGACAGTCCATGCATGTGTTCTTTCTGACTCATGGACTTTGACGGCATGCGTTGGTTCCCAGCCACATGTTCATATTCGATTTGAGTGGCGAGTTCTTCTACCCAAGCATCCAAACCAGTCATCACATGTCATCACCTGAAGAAGGCCCCCCAGGGCCCCCCAGGGCTCCTCTTGCTCTCCTCTCCAGTCCGACTGGTGGGTCTGCAGGACCGGGGGCAAGTGGAAGCTCAGATCCGTTCGCTGCGCCTCTTGGCAGCCGAACAAACAACGTCCGGTCAGACGTCGCGCTATCCAATTGGGGGTGTGGCCGGAGTCGGTTGTTCTGTTCCATCCAGACTTTCAACTCAAACATGTTCTTGGTTTGAGGTCGCAAAAAAAAGAGAAGACAACATGCAAATTGTATAGCCAGACCATCCATCGGACTGGTAGTCCTGATTCCCGATCGATTGGGTTGGTTGAATTCAGGGGTCAATGTAGGTAAATATGCCATAACACGGGAGTGTTTTGGCCAAGGAACTACACAATTCCTTATGTCATAAGCCCAGCAAATGTTTATGTCATCAGCCCTGAGTATGAATCTTCCAGTCCCACCGGAGTGTTTGGTGTAGTAACTAAGCCATCATTACGGTTTCAATCCCAGTTTGGTATTTTGGTTTGATATATTTGGAAACTTTTGAATATGTTCAACACTATTAAACAATGGGACTTGGATCCGGTTCAGTCCCATTTCCGTTGACCCACTCCGTCCCATTGTTGTGGACGCCGAGTGCTCCTTGAATTTCCACGTAGACAGACGAACTGTTCCATCAAAAAAGCGCCGCCCGTGCGCCGCCCTTGCTTGCTTTTGTCCTGGTGTTGCAAAAGAAAAAGAGGTGATTTCTATGTTCCCTATGAGGTAAATCCAAGTATATCAATCCCCAAACCTGGGGAATCTGTGGTAGTTTTGTCCAGGTTCCGATACGTTCCGCAAAAATCAAAGCCGTTCGGCGTGAAGGAATCTGGATGTCCTACGATGTCCTACGTTGCTATTGTGACAGTGGCAGAATCATTGCTCAAACCATGAAAACCATGAAAACCACGAAGTCCGGTCACGGACCGTGATGGCTCCAAAGCAACAGATGTGTGGTTTTTCCCCAAAGATCCTTAGGATCCACATTGACATGATGGATATCACTAGCATCCATTTGCATGCTTATACCATCCCCGACCACCCATGGGACTGGTCTATTCACCTCCACCAGGGCGCTTGGAAAGGGGTCAATGCAGGTAAATTTCATCTGTGACAATGCCCAAAAAAAGAAATCCAACTATTGATTGCATAGGCTTCACCAAACGGTCTATGTTTTCTCAACGAAACAAATCCTCTTACCTTCCTGGCGTCACCAACAGATCTCGATCCATCTCCACCAGGTCGCTCGATCCTCCGGAGGCTTCACCAAACCGATCGCCAGGGACGAGGTTAAGAATGGTTCGACGAGGTTAAGAGACGTCTCTGACTGTTGAGCGAGTCATACAGAGGACTGTTTGGAAGCTTTACAAAGCAAGTTCAAACCAAAGGAACCCACTTAGAGCACTTCCAAGAGTGTTTCAAACATGACCAATGCGCCAAACACTGATGAATTGACCCCGTTTTTAACCGTGCCATTCTATTCATGTTCTCCGGTCAAGCAATGTACCTCGGTTTTCACCCACTGCCATACGTACAACTGTGACTATAATGGTATAATGGAGAGAGAGAGAGAGAGTTGCCGCCATATAAAAAGAGCTTTAACATGTGGGTATATGTCATGTGGCAATGCATGGAGTGTGACAGGGCATGGATCTGACCATATATGACCACCAGTATGACCACCCCGGGTCAATCAACCGCTCCGTACCGCGTAGCCCCAGCCTTCCGAGACGAACACATGCAGCACAAATAGATCGTAAAACAGTAGCGGCTCGGCCAAGCCTATATACCTGGAGTCTAAAAGTACCTCGGAAAATGGGTACAAGTACCTGTTTTATGGGGTCATGTCCCATTTTCTAAGGTACTTTGGAGAGTCCAGGTATATGTATTGCATAAGCCCAACGGCCTAACTAACTTACGGTACAAAGATTAATAAAGCAAATAATAGCAACAATATGACAGTCCCATAAATATGGGTCGTGTCGTTCGGGTGTCAGTCTGAGGACTTTCGTGTATCTATCCCGCCCTGACCCACAGGCCATGACCCAAATAGAGATTGCTGTGGTTCTTACCAGAAAGCGACCAAAGCTGGTTCAGCAACGGCTGACACTGAGAAGTTGGGGTACTTGTCTTCGAGTGACACCGTGACACCAGTGCAACCAACACCGCGAACAGTCGAAGTGTACGAACGTCGACAAGAAGGTCTCGCGACTTCGCCACACAGTGCTACAGTCAGAAGAAGGGCACATATGCAACACCAGCTGTGGCAGAATACATGGCAGGCTCGCCAAACGGCTGGAGCATACTGGAGCCCTCCACCGGCATTTGCGATAAGGGATAAGCTTGACCAGCTCTACCCGTGGATCACCCTAGACAAGCCGCTAAGCCCTACAAGACCATCTCCGTCTTCTCTAGGATCCTGGGGTTGGATCTGGGCTTGGCTTCACTGATCAGAGTCATAGTGGAGAAGAACGATTTCTGCCAATGTCTGATCCAACAGAGGATGCCTTTGCGCTTCATGCTCCAACAGAGAATGTTGGGCATATCTTGAGCTCGGGGTGCAGATCCGTAATGGACTACTCATGGCGGCTGAGGCTTAACCGAAGATCCCTGATTTGGAGCCTTTTCGGCGCCGTCAACGCAGGCTTCGGGGCTTCGGCGACAGCGTGTGTAGCCTCGCTCGCCGCACTGATTCCAAGGGAGGTTGAAGGACCCTAATGTTCGACTATCCCAGTTGGGTACCCCAGGTTTTTGGTCCGATGTACAGTCACTCAACCTCTCTCGGTGTCCACCTGACAGACGGCATCGGTTTTGCGCGAGGGGAGGAGCTCAAGCGATTCGGCTCAGTGCCCCGCTCCAAGGGACAAGCCTCCCATGGGCAAATGCTCGAGCCACACGGACCGGACGGCATCGGAAACGTGGGCAACTGCCCTGCCATCGCTTGGTTTGCATTGCGCATGTAGGCGCCAAAGATCGCAAAAGCGTGATCTGAGAGTGCTTGCGATTCTAACCGAATGTTCTTTGCATATAGACCAGCGCCTTCATACGGACACCAAGCCATGGCTTGTACCGGCGGGGCTGTGGATCCATCTCATGCATCGGTTCGGAGAACCGGCACAAGGATCTCAGTCTGAGAACTCTGAAATCTCGGAGGTTTCAAGTAAAACTATGTGAAACCTGTGATAGTTATACCGCGAAGACTAGCCTGTGATAGTCATCAGATGCCTGAAACCTGGTCAGAAGATGTGTGAAGTCTGAGAACTGCTACACTGGAAATCACTGAGAACTGCTACAACTGCCCCACACTGCTCTCTTATTCAACTTCAAACTGACAGCTGGCCCAGCTGGCTGGTTTTCCAGTGCACGAGGTTGGTCAATGTCTTGATGGGGAGAAACGACTCTGAAATGCATATGGGGCCTTTCCACGGCATTTCTTCACAACACCACACATGTGGCCCTTAAAACTGCCTTCCAAGATCTAAATACTCTTGAAGACAGAACCAAAAACAAACTCACAAATTCAACGATCTTCAACGTTGTTTTTCGTTTTTAGATGGTTTTTTTTTCGACACGCCGCCTCCCTTGGATGACTGGTGTTTTGGCTCCCCCCCCCAACGAAGGGAGGCTTCGTGGACCGACGGTGCAGGCGTGGCACCCCGGAAGCCAATCCACAGGTGCGGACACGGCCGCCCGCGGTACGGTGAGGGAGGTAAGTGGGCGTTTCGGACAGAAGAGACGTGAGACGTGGGCGGTACCTCAGTGGCTGGGTTAAAGCACTATAAATACATATAGTTAATACAGCACTACATCGTTGAGAATGACACGAATAGCATGATTCATTCATATGATGGTCCTGCACAAATTCTTTGGCAGCACCGTGTGTCACTTCCTTTACACCAAGAAGTCAATGTTGTTCGGAAGACAAAGTATATACCCCCAAAGCCTAACCAGGTCTATCGATCTATGCAACATGTTATTTTTACGTTGAAATAAAGAGACCAGAGACCTAAGTTGGACTTCGATAACCTTCAAAGCCACATACTTACTGTATTGCAATCGGTGGATTGCGGTCACTTGGAGTGCCAGTCTTTTGGAACGGGCGTCGGCGGCGCCGGAACTGGTCACATGGATTCCGGGCCAGGCCCGGAAGAAGACCGACAAAGTGCTCTCGCACTACGAAGAGGCGACGGGTGGCGGGTGAACGGCGTTGAGGGGTGAAACGAAGGCTCCAGTCCTGCCCTCCGTTCGTGTCTGAGTCAATGCATGGGTGCAGAGCTACCAGTCTTTTTTGGTTTGGGTTGAGTGTGGTCCCATGTTCTAGGGTACTTGAAGTCAGGTCCAGGTATGAAGATGAGTGTCGGAGTTTCCTGATCACGTGCCGGGTCGGTGTTGTGGACAACCTTCCGGACGTATTGATTCAACTTAGTACCTCCGGATTCATAACATACCACCTCCAAGCAAACTTCATGTCCAAATTACTTCTGAGGGACACTGTCATCAATGATTTGGAGTTGTTGTCCTGAATTGGCAGCTGGCTGCAATTTGCTGTAGCAAGAGACCTTACGCACACACGCAACCTCCATCCAACCTCCATCAGCCAACCCTTTCAATTAAACATGAGTTTATCAGTTTATCATAGTTTATCTACATGTTGCCAAACTCCACAAAAGACCCTTTCGGGATGAGCATGTTTGCTTTTTGTTGGTTGCTTCCACAAAAACTCAATTGTGGAAGTGGAACAACCTTGTGTACTGTGTATATCTTGTAGACGAGATGATGATTGGTCTCTACAAAAGAACCAGTGGCTACGTGGCAACGTGGCGACGAGCAGGTGAGACCATGTCCTGAGACCGAAAGTCCATCCATCGGTGAGACCATACATACTGAACGTTGGAACAACAGGACACCGTTTGACACCTGGTCCTCAACAAAGAACCACATGATCCAACTTAATCTGATGAGATCTTCCTCCCAAGCATCCTTGTTTTGAAGCATGTTGATAAGGAGGTGTGGGTCCTGAAATGCCAGCTATTGGAAGAGTGGCAGACCTTTGGCAGACGGTTCTCGCCAGTTTGTCCTGTCCGAGGTCGAGAGGATCCAGACATCCTTTCAGTTTGGATTCCGGAAGGGTTGACAATCACCCACCCCAGAACCACCCCACCAGGTGACCTTCAAAGTGATCAAATTTGATCCCCAGGTTTGAGGTCACAAAAGAACTGGGAAAGGTCACTTAGGGACCTAGGGACTTCAATGGCAGGTCATATTGAAATACTTCGAAGAAGCTGGCAGGTCATTCCGTGGTTGTCACCCCTTGTGGTGATTCCTCAGGTCTTGCAAAGCCTGGAGGCGCTGGTTCCCATCCCATCCCAGGGCGGTGTATTCCGGGGGCGTTGGTGGTTGGAACCGTCTGTGGAACCGCATCCAGTGGACCGATCCAGCTATGTATATATAGGTAATATATATATATATAATAGATATCTATTCCAGCCTGGTTTTGCTGTTTTTTGTTGGGGGATGTGTTTTTTTTGCTGGGTAAATCCCCTGGCCCATGGGGAAGATGTTTACTTCTTCCAGGTTCCTGAACAAGCAAATCCAAGTACAGGCCCATGGAATGGGAATGGTTTTGTGTCTCACGTCCAGGTGCTTGGGCTGTCTGTCTACAGCCCCCTTCAGACACTTGACACAGAGGATTGACCAGTCAAAGTCCTGTGCTGGAAGGAATCCTACCTCAACATGATCCAACTAGCATAGGACATCAAACTGTGCAGACCAATTCTGTAAGGTGGTGCAAGTGGTGCAGGAGATCCTTGATTCTTTGCTTGTTGTTTTGTCAAACAATGGAGCTCCAACACTCCTAAACCACCCTAAACCAAAGGGGCACAAGACGCCTCGCGCCTGTTGTTTGTGTGTAGCCATTCGGTTCTATTTTTGAACCTTCTAATAACGTATAGTTCCAATGTTCTTTTGGCGCCGTGCACCTCGTTCCTGCGTCCGTTCGCCACCCGACAAAAAGCCGTCGAACCGCAGTTCGCAGTAAGCCGGACCCGACCGAGAGGTGATCGTTCTCGATCGGTTTGGTCGCCCACCCCAGTCTTGTACCACAGACCTGGGTCCTCTTTGTTGTTTCTCTCAACCACCCCAGCCGCCCGCCATAGGGCGTCCACCTAACAGAGCCTAACAGAGCCTCTCAACCTCTCTTGGAAGTCTTCATGTCCAGGACATTGTCGGTGTGTTCTTGAGGATTTTGTCGGTGTTTTTGGATGAATTGGAGTTCACTCAGGGAATTTCTGGGAGTTTGCTGATGGATCAGGGTGAACCATTGGTCCCGAACTGCTTAATAGTCATGTTAAATCTCCCTAACCTGGGGAAACAGGTTCTATTTCTTCCAGGTTTCGAAACCAGCAAATTCAAGGTTCTCTCTCCCAATGGGGATCCACGGCCCCACAGTATGTAACCGAGTTTTGAGTTACATCCCTCGCAGTTCGGACCACCCATGGACTCCCAAAAGCCCTGCGGTGATCGGAAAATGGTCGGTCCACCAGGTCCATTCGGTCCACCTGGTCGGTTGGCCGTTCGGTCGCGCGGGGGGGCTTCCGCGCGCGGTCGGACGTGGCTCCACATCACCGACGCACAGAGGGTTGATCGATCCATAGGCTCTGGAAGGACCCCGCCGCCAGCGCCCCAACTGAGCAGGTGGACGCGTGCGCCCCATGGATACCGCCGTACATGGGGCAAAGTGAGATCATTTGTTGTCTGGAGTTGGAGGAGAGTGAGGTTGACTGAAGCAACTTCGAGATCCACCTCCCAGCTCAAAAGCCATGAACGCCCGTATCTCGTCCTGAAAATCCCCGGACCTATCACCACTTACCGACCTGGCCAGACCTGGCCTTCCCGGAATCCGACCCAACGCCACCTCCGCTCCCACCGGCGCCTCCGGATTCGTGGTGCCCAACGAGTCGCCAGGTTCGCCTGAAAGAACTGGACCATGAGCTGCATGAACTGGGCAGCCGCTCGGCCGAGGGCGTCGGGAGGGTGGAAAACACCGCAGGAAGCCGAGGGGGTTGGAAGCGCGGTTCGATGCTTGGTAGGAGGAGTCAGGGAAGAGTCACTGACGGGCTTTAGACGGATGGGCTTAGATGATGGATGTTTCCGGCAATTGTCTGGGCAAATGGATAAATTGGATAAATTTTTTATGTTTACGGCAATTAATATCAATGAATAAATTATAACTTCCACAAATGCTTAGTCTGGGCTCGCTCAAGACGGGTCGAAGCCTTCGGCCGAGGGGATCATTCCCAGACCATCCATTGGGACTGGACTTGGTTATACGTACGGCACAATATTACCCCATCAATTTAGAGGGCAGGTGTGCCTGGGAGAGCACACACTGGCTCAAAATCCTTTATACCGACTCAGACCCCAGTTTAGTCGGCAAGACATGTTGTGGTGGTGGGCAAGCAACGTACACAGCACGATGGCAGCAGGACAACAGAAAGACCAGGAAAAAAAAACATGAGGAGGACAACAGCGCGGCCAAGCTGGACACCAGCAGAAGGAGAACCAGAGGACAACAGGAGGACAAGAAGAGGACAACGAGAGGACAGATGACAATAGGAGGACGAGGTTTAGAGACCGGCTGGCAGCCACCAAGCCGGTGTCAACAAGAGGACAGCAAGTGGAGGGGGTCAAGAGGAAGACAAGAGGAGTTCAACAGCCCCCTGGCACACTTTCCCGGTGCGGATTCTGGATGAAGCAGTCATGCAGGCAAACCAGTAACTGCAACAGTATTTCCCAAACACCTCCAACTGCTGTTGCCTAGAACCTGAGTGAACTTTAGAGGATCCACTATCCAAAGTATGGCCATTCAGTTTCCTACCGAAAGGGAGGCCAAAGGGCTTCTATAGGTGTGATATCCACCACACCCACCATACACCCACCATACACCCACCTCCTCACCACCTCCTCGCGCACTGAGGTGGTCGTGTCATCTTGTCCAAGATCTGGTCGGCCACCGCTCGCTCCATCTAGAGGCCGCCCTTGGTCGACAACGAGAGTGGCCGACCACCGGGTGGAACACTGAAGCGGTCGGGGTCGGTGAGAGGGGGTTTTGGGGCCAGAAAAACCCCACCAGAAAAAGACCAAAGGTGGCGCGACGTGGTCAATATGCCAGGAGTCACAAAGGGGTGGTGTTTAGTCCCCAAGTGAGTGGATAATGGGTACCCCTAACCTCCATGGATCGCACCCCTTTGGGTACCCCTAACTGCTGGTGCTTGTATCTATAGTGTTTATGTTTGTTCCTTGCATGCTTGCTCTTCTGTTCCCCTCCTCACGCGTTTCGGGCGACGTTTGGGCCTGGTTCCAAAATAGGATGACGAGAGAGTGTCCTGGCATGCCAGGGGATAGCATTCTAGGACTCGTGCCCGGGGGATAGCATTCTTGGACTCGTGCCGGGGCAATTCCAAGCTGGGAACAGGCTGGAACAGGCTGGGTTGCACAACTCGTGGTCAGTCGTTGTCCCATTGTCCCATGTCACAACAAGAAGCGCAGAAACGAGAAGCGCCGCGAAGCAGAAAAAAAGCAATGTTACAATAATTCCAGTTGAGTGGAAATCAAAAGCACTAGATCGAACATTTGACGTCGACGACTTCACTCTGAGTCTGAAGGCCAACTTGGCTGAAAGCGGCTGAAACCGAAGCATGAAAGTGTGAACATATCTATGCGGGCTGCCTCCTGGTGGTGTATGCGGGTTATCCATGGGCTATGGTCACCACAACGGTTGGTGGCTTATGGTTCAGAACGAGAAGCTGGCAAGCGCAACACTCATTCCAGATAGTTTGCCTTTGCTTGTGCCTGAGTTGGTTGACCAACCTTAATGGCCTTGGCGCATGCAAAGCATACAAGTGAAGATTTGAATTGTACATATTCCTGACCATCTTTGTTAAAGAGGGTCAGACGGAATGCCTGCACGTGGACCAATTGGACCAGCCCTGCCTGTGTACTACTCTTTGACTGTTCCGAACAGGGGGGGCATTTGATGTGCGAGCACCCTCGACCAGTCGGCCTTTAGTGGCCCTGCTTCCTGGCATTTGACTTTCGAGTTTGGCTTGTGGAAATTCTCGCAACAGTTGCTCTTGAATTGTTTGAACATGGTTCAATTCCTGAGTGTAGCCACTTGGTCTCCCGCAGCCTTGAATCCTTCAATGGTTGTCCTGCATATGTGGCGAATTGTGGCCATGTGAAGGTTATTTATACCCCTGATTGGCCCTTGATGAACCCACCTCCTGTTGTTTTTGCAGAATTGCGGAATTGCTGCAGGCGAGCGTTCTACTTTACATTTGCCAGGTCTTTTCTATTTGTTTGTATGTTGAACATGCTTTATTGTCGTAGACTGAATGTGATAGCATACAACTTTGTTCAATAATTGGTTGGTTATCCTATAAGATGGCCAAAACGACTTTGTGTTCGACGACTTGAACAAACAAAACACACAATGTCAAGCAGCAAACATGTCACATGTCGTTACGGTCTCGGTGTTCGTGTTACGTTTGCCTAGGGAATATGTTCTATTTTTTTGGACTTGCTTCCGAAACAACCAAATCCAAGCTAAGTACCGCACCATCATCAATGCAAAGACGTGAGAATCTACAACCGTCCTGGAGTAGAGCTAAAAGAGCTGTTTTTTTTTTTCAATTGAGCTTCTGGAGATCCTCTACCGGCCTCAACCGATCAATGTATTCTACCAGAATCTACAACTACCAGAATATGTTTTTGGCCTGGTTTGCCATTGCATTCTGGTAGATAGAATAACCAATCCAAAAACATGGCGTAGGTTCCTGAATGGTTTTGTTTGGATTATACCTAAATACTCCCATGTATGGAATCTTTGGCTACATTGGGGTGCTTGCAGGGGTCAATGTGGGCATATAATCCATACGTGTTTGACATATTTTAATCTACTTCAGTATGAGAAATTAAATCGACGTAAAACTAAACGACTCAGTGGACCCTCTCCCGGGAACTCTCACGGTCTACTCTCTACTTTCACGTCCCACTTCTCCCTCTCCGCTTCAGGACGAGCTCAGCATTTTCACCACCGCGGCCGCGTTTTCGAGACGCTCTTCCGCATCGCCTCGGCGTTGTGGGGGGCCACCGGCCGCTCTTCCGTGGCATTTCCCATGACAACTGCGTGGCACGTTCGGAGTAGGCGCCAGGCTGACAGTTGCTGTCTTGGAATGTGGAGAGAAGTTTCAGCTGGGACAACAGGAGGATTTACCTCTTCCCGGTCCAGGACCATGGGCCCCAGTTCGACCATTCTCGGCACCACTTTCACCTCCAAGACCATCCGAAAAGGAGGTACCTGGACATACCTGGACCCGCTTGTTTTTTGGATAGACAACTGATCATTGGGGGCTTTGGGGTGGTCTATTCCCATGAAGCAGGTACGGTCATAGTTGGCTGTTTTTTTGGTGGCTGGCGAGAGAGAGAGAGAGAGAACGAACTGCACTGTCGTGTGTTGTTGGAAACCCAGCTGAGCGCTGCTGAGCAAACTAAAGGAGATATATGTAAAACTGATATAGACAGATGCCAGTTGTTTGGAATTGGCTGTTGACCAACTCTCAGAATGGGTCTATCATACCATCAAAAGACACCCCATAAAACCACCTATCGTTTGGAACTCTTTCCGTCGGAGTTCGGTGGTTGAAAGTTTGAAAGGTCAAGACACCGCTGGACGAAAGGTCAAGAGAGGAATTCCACTGAGTTGAAAGGTCAAACACCTTGGCGCCCCATCGTGGCGCGATGGGGAAAGCGGTGGCACGGTGGAACACGCATGATTTCGGCCATATTTCAGTGCCATGGGGAAAGTTTTGTGCGGCCAACTTGGACAGCTTCAATTGTTTTTTTTGGGCGGTGCCTGGGCGGACCTAGGGGGCAAGCGATGTGTAAAGCACTTATCTTGAAGGGGATAAGTCACCCAGTCAGTGGATCAGACCTGAGCGATGGTCCAAATGAAGAGGAACCCACGTGTTGTGCCGTGGGCCAGAATGCTTCCATTTCCGGTTTTTCTTGAGGCCTTTAGTCACCCCAGAACAAAAGAGAGCCGGTGCTTCCTCTAGCAACAGTTTGGGGGGAGACTGACTTAGTCTCTACAAAATTTGCAATATATATGTATATACTGTATATATATATATACACACAGTGATATACCGTGTGTCGGATGTTGTTTCTCTGAGGGCAACTCTACAATGTCCCAAACCAAGTTGCTTGCAGAAAGGGATTAATATGCATCATATTACATCATCAAAGCTGCTTGGTGCCCTTCACAGAAGTGATCGATTTGAATGGCCCTGTACGCCCTTCTATGCTGCCTGGCGCTGCATCTGCACTTTTGGTGAATAGAGATACCCGGGGTCAGGCTTGAAGGGGTCCTACTCTCTTTGGTGTGCCACGATTTCATGCGGAGCATACTAATTGGTTTCAGATCTTTCTTCATTAATGTAGACTCGTGATTCATGATCAATCATATCCTCCCATTTGAATTGGAACATCCTCTTAATATGGGGGGTTATTCATCAAGAGTCTACATTAAGTGTGTTGGTCCTCACCTTGACGCACTCACATCCTGGCTCATTTTCGCGTTCCCCTCACTCGGGCCAACCATGTACACCCGGTGAAACACCTGCCCTCGGCTCGGCTCAAGTTGTTCGGTTGGATCACCGAGCCCGAACTCCATGGAACTGGCATATTGACCAAGAAAAGGCCAGGGGTGGTTGAAAACGGGTGAATCTAAGGCCGTGTTTGGGGAGGACTGGCATATTTACCTACATTGGGGTGGTTTCAGGATGAATGTAAGGACACATTCCAGTCCCATCGGTCGTGTTTGGAGACCAGCGGAGTGTTCCTTGGCGAGAAAGTGATTTTCAGTGTTCTTGACTTTTTCAGGAATCCACAGATATTCATCTCTCAGTGGCTCCAGGAGTCTTGGAGTTCCCATCAACCCCATCCTTTGCCATACCCCAAAGGCCTCCTCAGATATGGACCTCCTAACCCACATGGCACTCCATGGGCATATATGATTTTTTCATGATCTAAGGTCAAAGTTGCTTGAAAAATGGATGTATACTATAGATAGCAGTTAAATAGATCGCATTGGAACTGTATTTACAGGGTTTCGCCAAAATAGATAGCATTGAAACTCATTGATGACCCTCATTTACGACCCGGAGAATGAGACATACACATGCTGCTTATAAGGGCAGCAGAGGTATAACGGCGTCGTTGGCCGGCCGTTTGGGGCTTCGTTGGTTCACATCATTCTCCATTCCGAACGAACTGCATTCGGGCGTCACGGTGAGTCGATGTGTACTAGTGGTGTAGATTGGTCTATTCCATGACGTCTGACGCGGGATGGCGGACAGACATAGGATGACATGGGAGGGACTTTCGTGAGGTTCCGGATCAAATCCACGAGCGTAAGAAGAGTAGAGGACTGCTTCGATGATACATCACCATCAGACGTTCAGAGACACCCCTTCTCAAGACCTGCCGGGATGACACAGCCAGCCCGCTCTTGTGCCTCAGCCCAAGACCGGCATCGATCCGCATAGCCTTTGGACTCCGGACTCAGCCTTTGTCAGTGATTGGCCTATCCACGCAGTCGTCAAACGGTACCTTTGACCCTTGTTTAGGACATTAATTACATGAAATTCCCCTATACATTGAGAGAATGTGTATATATTTGCATGAACAACAGCAGGAGTGCAGGTGGAAAGAGTTTTAATTTTAAGCTCGAAAGTTTGGAGCCTTCATGGAATCTGTAGTATTAAACAAATCATTGTGTTTTCTCACACGTGACACAGTGACACGTGATACTTTTGCAGCGCCGTGTGATGCTTTGTTCCCTATTTGAACTCTAAACTGGGCCTCAGTCACCACTGAATCCCCTCTCACGGGGTGAAGCGTGCGATCCAAAAGCGTGTCAGGTCATCCCCCAAAAGTATCGCCCCCCCGTGCCTAAAGCATTTTCGTCA